CATTTCGTTCCATACAATATTCTTACATTTCTCATGATATACTTGCATCTACTTTACTGTTTATCTCTGGATTTTTTATGCACTTACTAACATTTCACTCCCTTTTCTCGGCATGAATTTCATATTGTCTTTCCAAGTTCTTCCGTAATTCTTCATCAACTTCCTATTTTCGTTCATTCGTTTCTACATTTTACCTTCTATTTTGCCCACCCACTCAGTCCGCACCTCCTTTTCTACCATTTCGCGCGCAATCTTTACCCCCATCTTATCATTCCTGCTTGTGTTCTCTGTATTCTCTTCCAGTTTCCCTTCGATTCATTATTGACATCGCCGTTATTTTCACTTCCCTGTAGTAACGAAATGTTGAGGTTGTCAACATATTTTCGCTCTTTTATTTCAGACTTCAAATCTTTGGCATTAAATTTAATGCCATTTTGCTTAAAAAATAGTCTATTGTTACACAATTAAAAGTTTCTAGATCATTTCTGGGAGGCGGTTTTCCCTTTGGATCAACTACTGCTTTGCTCCACTTTACTTCAAGAATTAGCTACTAATTCCTACATAACGCCTCTTAATTTCTTTTCAGCTATGGAGACATGGTTCCTTCAAGTATTGGTGGCAAACTTATTTCCGCAGTCTTCCTGACCTTGGCTGTATTTATTGTCTCACTTCCTGTTCCTTTCATCGAAGACAAACTACTACATCAACAACATCTTCAATTGACAGAAGATCGTTTAGAGATGAGATTAAAACGAATACTTAAGACAAAACAAAGTCATCGTGGCAGTAACAGGACACGACGTGGTACGGCTAGCAATATCCACGCTGCAACCACGTGACATATGGAAAGCTTTATCTCCAAATGCAGGATAGTGGTATCTTTGCACGCGGGATGTTGCGAGACTTTTGGAAAGCGGAAAAGGCACGAGCCGCAGGCGAGTGTGTTTTACGCTTTCCGAAAGTCGAGCGGCATTCCAAGTGCATAGGGGACACTATCCTGCGTGGAAATCATTTGGCAATTTTTTAATAAAATAACTACAGTGAAACAATAATTAACTTTATTGAAACGTTTAAGTACTAACACGAGTAGGACTGCTTTATCAAATATCGTGTTTACTTTTTCGTGATACTCGTGTTTTAAATGGCCTAAAAACGACACATCTGATGAGTTCATTAGCGAAGAAATTTTATAATAAAAATAAACGTTGTCTAAGCCGAGAAAATCAAAGTTAAAGTTTGTAAATGATGTTCATTTTTATCACATATAAAACAGTGGCGTTAACGTTATACCAGAGGCCCCCCGGTTCAAACTTTTCGAAGGCCCCCCTAGTAGAAGTGCCAAAGGCAAAAGTCGAACGCCCTATATCCACGAGTTTTTTAGTGGGTCCAGGGCATGTTCACCTGGAAAATATTTGAATCTAGACTCTCTGAAATGCCATTTCTCTGACTTTAGGGAGAGATTTTACAGAATTCAGAAAACGGCATTGTTGCTCTATAGGCTATAGCCTGAGCCTGGGGGCCCCCATTGGGGTTGGGGACCCCAGGTTCTCCCCGTCCGAGCCCATAGTAGTTACGCCACTGATATAAAACCAACGACAGCAGTGATTTCCTTTGTCTTAAACGTTATTCTAACGGTTAACTTTATTATAACTTTGTAACGTTTTTGTTAACTTGTCTTTCGTTTAATCACACGTTAAAATGTTTTCTGTATATATAGTCCAACATTCTAAAAAGCCCGCGCGAAGGCATTTAAACTTTCTGTGCAGAATTGTGAGACCCTGCACGGGTATTTTAACCATCACTGAAATTGTGTGTTTTGCTGTAGTTAATCTGATTTTCTTTTTCTGTGGTTGCAAACTTTATGTAGCTAGCGCTATACTGCGCTATAGGTTGTTCCATTTTTCTCAGATTTAATTTTTGATGCAAATTATGCAATATCAATAGCAATTTCTTCACTCGTAAAAATGCCTAAAAGCTGTGAAACACAGATGTAGGGACCTCACAATAAATATAAGAAACGTAATTCAATTAATAAAAACTAGTAAACTTTATTAGCTAGAAAGCTCGAAAAAAACTCAAAATATATCAACGATCTTACGTGTCCCTACGTCTTTAACAACTGTAGACACATGCGAGTACTGTATTTCTTTGTATTATATATTCATTTTGAAATCAATGGTCTTAACTACAATGATTGGCTCTGTGCAGCTGTGACGTTTTTCTGTAAAATTAAATCATGGAAAAATTCGATAGTTTTTTCAAAAGCCTTAACATTTCGGAATCATCTTCGCAGATAAAAAAGAAAACAACTTGATACAAACACCAGTCTATGCATTCGTAGTACCATACCTGTTCTATACATTTATATTATTACGCCTTCCTTGCATCAGATTTCAAGAAAAACTCGCTAAAATTGTCAATATTTCATGCAAAAAAAGTTGTTTTGAGAAACATTCGAAATTTTTAAGTTCATATATTAACAAAAACATGTCAGCAGATGATGACATATTCCTCGCGGAAGCATCGCCAGTAACCGACCGTAGAAAATAGTAGAAAATTACCTTACGTGTACTATAAGAACAAAATATCGATAACTATGTGTGACGTTTCTGAGGGGGGGGGGGGGGGGTCTCCAGAGAAACGTCCATATGACGTTTCTCATGGACAAAATCGATGTGTGAGGCTTGCTACAGAGAATGTCCTATCACCATACGTCTTTAACCTGGAGCGAGACTCTGAGAGATGCCATGATCTAAAAGTTCGCGAATTTGCGCGGAGCTTTAATAGTTCAGTGATATTGCACGGTGATATGCCTTGAAAGGCAGTATTTTAAAACTAATTCGATAATGTACAGGCAGAAAATGAAGCTTAAACATAAGTGCAGTAATATGGTCATATTTCAATTCCTAGTTAATGTAACTATACTGACGCGCAGCAGCCTGCTCATCAGTGGTGATGAGTCATCACCATTCTGTTTAAATTCCAGGGAAGATCTGGAGGGTATTGCGAGCTAATAAGAACAAGTTTTGTTTTGATTTGTTGACCGTCCAACAATCAATTTCCTTCACACATGACTCAATCCTTGTCTTGGCTGACAGAAGTTCATTCAATGAATCCGATTTAAAAGTTATACAGTTGAGTATGATCAACATATAGGGCATGGTACTGGAGATTATATTGTTTAATAAAATCACTGATAGGTATGTATAGCAAATGCAATATATAATGGACTCAATACTGATTCCTGCGGTACACCACAATCCAAGTTACGTGTGCACGACAAACCATCTTCAACCTGTACAAACTGTTTTCGAGATTTTAAATATGATTCGAACCACCGCAGCACATTCTCCTTAATACCAAAGCGAGATGAAAGTTTTGACAACAAGATGGAATGGTCCACTGTGTCATGCATATCAAAGGTTGCGGACGAGTCCTTGCAACAAGAGGAATATAACCGATTGGTTGTTATCAAATGCACACACGACATCATATTGAACTTTGACCAATGCTGTTTAAGTGGAATGGAAAGTTTTATATGCGCAGACTGGAACCAGGGGCGGCGGAACATATTTTATTTTGGGGTGGCTAAATTTTTTTTTCGTGACGTCCCCCCCCCCGTCGACACTTTTTTTCGGACATAAACCAAAAAAATTTTCCGGACATATGCAAGAATGGAATGAAAAAAAATTTTCCGGACATATAACAATAAATTTTTCCGCACATATAACAAAAGAATTTTCCGGACATACATTTTTTTTATTTTTGAATTAAACAAAATATTGCAAATTTTACCACTTATACCTAAATTTTCCAAAAATACCCAAACTTTTTCCTTAATTATCAACATTTTTCCAGAAAAAACAAAACTTTCTTGGGGGGGGGGGGG